GGTTCATGTTTGCATCTATTTCTTCATTCAGCAAACACACCCCAAGTCCTTCCCACCAGGGGTCCCAACGACAGAGGAGGGCACCCCAGGAGTGTCTGAGCAGGCTGCTCTGAGGAAATGGTTTTAAGCATGAAACTGGTGCATAGCTCCTATAGTGGCTCCCAGCCAGAGAAGTCACTGTCTTAAATCAGAGCCAGAGGACCCAAGGTAAAGTAAAGACACATTTGCATAGAACTAAGTCCAGACCTGCGATCCTCAGTTCCTCTTATCCCCCATTGCAGAGCTTCCAGGGAAAGGGTTTCTGGGAGGGTCCGGAAACAGGGATGTGTCATAAGCGTGGGTGCTCTCTCCCCAGCTGGCCTTGCCTTCTCTCCTGGCACTGGGTCACACCTGCAGGGCCTCACCCACTACTGACCTAGATTTCCTTGCCACTCTGTCAACAATTCCAGGGTGGAGCAAAGCGTGGCTTCAGGGACCCAAACAGAGTCTGTGAGCAGCATCACAGAAACCTAACCCCGCCTCCCCCACCGGGGTGGAGCTAGTGGTGAATTTGTCAGGGTGGGAATGAGTCTTCTTGGAGGCTGCTTGGACCCAGCTGTAACTCTGACCTTCCCAGCTAGGCCATGCTCTGGTTGACAGGGCCTCCCAGTGGGTGGGGGTAGGCAGAACCTAGTACAGCCATTTAGGGGCAGGGACCACTAAGCACCTAGAGCAAAGGTACTGTGTAATTGAGGTCATTCCTTCTTTAGAATGCTTCTAGTTTGCTGCTTAGAGGCTCACAAATCTGCTCAGTCCAGGGTAACAGTAAGATTCTCTAGAGATGCCCAGAGCCCTGTCTGCTAGAGTGTGACTCTTGAGAGACCCAACCTCTCCATATCAGATACCACCCCCTCTCTCAGCACCTGCTGTGTTCTTGAGATGGTTGATCTCGTGTCACATGGCCTAGAAAATTCTGGTGTGAGGCCTGGGTCTCTATCTTTAGAGCCGAGAGGACCCATGAAACACTGGCAAAAAAAACCTGTGGATTCACAAGCAGGTGGGATCCTGTAGGCCTCGAAGCCTCCATCCAGACTGACACTTTTATCCATTTCGCTGCCAGGCTCCTAGGGCTGAGAACATTGCCATTGGCTCCTCTTGGCTCCTCTCTTCGTAGCCTGCACACGTGGCCCCAGTTAGGATGTCAGAGCACAACTAGACAGAGCCCCGACAGTTCCCAGGGGTTAGGGGTTTATGATAATGATCCAAATTAGAAAGTACTATTCTTTCTAGATCATTCTCAGATCGAAACTCCTAATTAAAGATCTTTCTAAGGAACCTCAGGACTTTTCGGGTGTTGTGGTGTGTTCCTGTAGTCCTAGCACTTGGGAGGTGGAGACAGGGGAGTGGGAGTTCAAGGCTATGAATAAGGTCAGCCTGGGCTACCTCATCTTGAAAGAAAGAAAAGATGAAAGGAAAGAAGGAAAGGAAAAGGGAAAGAAAGGAATCACAGGACACTCAACTAATTGCTCCCTTACCTAGGGGAACACAACCTGAAAATGGTCAAGAGCTGACAGCATGGCATAGGACCCACTTGCAGTCACTCTCCTGACCCCAGTGTGAGGGCTCACCTCCTGTGAGCCTTGCTTCCTAATTAGAGTTTCTTGGAAGTGCTGAAATCTTTGCCTCTGGTTCTTTATTAGTCCAGGCCTGGAGCTCTGGACATGGCTTGTGTCTGAGCTCAGAGGAGGGTGTGTGACAATGTGAAGCACCAGCAGCAAGAGGTTCTGAAGAACATGCTGCTTTCCCATCAGGGACAGGACAGGGGTCTAAGTTGTAGAGGGTGCTGGCTTCTCTGGGAGCCCAGGTTTCCAGGTACAAGAGTGTCCCACTGTTCATAGGAAGATGCCAGCTGGATCCTCTTGGTTCTGGCACACCTAAGATTGTATATGGCTCCCTCTGAAGCCAAAGAGAGGACTGACCTTGGTCCCTTCCCCCCTGGGGGGAGAGGATGCTACAAGGAGATTTTGAACTGGAGAATACATTTTGGAGGCCAAGTCCAGAGATCTCTCTGTGCTCTGCCAGTATGGACATCTGGACCAAAAGGGCTGAGAGCACACCGGCTCCAAATGCTCCAGGTAAAGAGGTGTCAGGGACACCTGAGCCTCCTGGATCCCTGCCAGACCTGGCATCGACTTCCATTCCTGTGGAACTTGCTGCAAGCTCCCAGCTGTGAAAAGTCTCCAGGAGTCACATAGATTCTGGGAACCAAATTCAGATCCTCTGTAAGAAAAGTAGAGGTCTTAACCACTGAACCAACCCTCCAGAACAGAATCTTTCCTATTTTAATCGAATTTATTAACACAGCTTTAGAAGTACCAATTTAGAAGGCAGAGGTGCCTCTTGGGAGTGGAAAAAGGAGGATAGGAAGGTGAAGGGGCTGAGTCAGTGACACTGAAGGACAGTTGGTTGTCAAGGCAACCCACTGGCAATGACCGTAGCATGCAGAACAGTCTGATGCCTTAGATACCCAAGTGGTTCAATTCTAATATGCAGATTTATGTCACTAAGTAGATGTTGCTTCCTAGAAAGGAAAATGGAGCACTTGATGCTAAATGTGGGTCCATATGACATCCTTTCTCCACTAGGAATCCATATGTTGACATTTTGTATCACTTGAGTTTCCCGGTGGGGGGGTCCTCTCTAGATCAGTGGCTCAATCTTGTCAGGTTAACAGATTAGCTTCTCAAGCTGCAAGCCTGACATGGAGGGCTCTGCTGACAAAACCCTTTTGGATTTGGTGTGCTGGGCCCTGGGCCAGCCTGTCCACTCTTGGCTGACATTAGCGGAATGATCCTCTCTGCTGAAGAAAGCACTAAGAATGGGTTGTAGTCTGCTGTACTACTGCCGCAATAACCAATCCCTGAGACTGAGCAACTGTCTAAGGGGTTCTATTGCTTCGACGAAACACCAGGACCAAACCAACCTGGGGAGGAAAGGGTTTATTTAGCTTACACTTCCACATTGTAGTCCATCACTGAAGGAAGCCAGAACAGGAACTTACATAGGGGAGGGACCTGGAGGCAGGAGCTGATGGAGAGGCTATGGAGGGGTGCTATTTACTGACTTGTTCCTCATGGCTTGCTTAGCCTGTTTTCATATAGAACCCAGGACCACTCACAATGGACTGGGCCCTCCTCCCCCATCATTCACTAATTAAGAAAATTCTACATCTGGATTTATGGAGGAATTTCCTCAATTGAGATTCCCTCCCTTCCCATAACTCTAGCTGTGTAAAGTCCATACAAGACTAACTAGCATGTCAATAAACAGTGGGCAGAAACTTAATTGGCTCACAGCCGTGGAACCTGGGATTTCAGGGACCACATCTGGTAAGAACTTGTTTGATGGTAACATCTCATGGTGGAAAGCAGAGGGTAAGATAGTACACTTGCATAGGCACATATAAGAAGGGGGAGGGGCATACAACGTTTAAAACTAACTCTCATGATAAGTAATCCACTCCACAGACAGCAGCATCAATCCACATGAAAAGCAGAATCTTCAAAAGTCCAATGTATTGGGCTAAGAAGATGATGAGTCAGTGGCAAACCTGATGACCTGTGTTTGGAACCCTGGAACCCATATCTACAGTAGTGCTAGCATCCGCAATCCCAGGTTTTCCCTACAGGGATATGGGAGGCAGAGTCAGAAGACTCTCTGGAAGCTCAGAGGCCAGGTAACATGACATCCACAGTGACAAAGAGACCCTAATACAATCAAGGAAAGCTGTCCTCTGACATCCATGTGTGCATGCTTGCACTCAACATCCATGAACAAGCACAATGCATGCACACACACACTCTCTCACACACACACAGGGAGCCACCTCTTGATTTGCAATTTTTTAAAAGAATTATTTATTCATTTTATGTATATAAGTACATTGTAGCTGTCTTCAGACACATCAGAAGAGGGCATCTGATCACTTTACAGATGGTTGTGAGCCACCATGTGCTTGCTGGGAATTGAACTCAGGACCTCTGGAAGAACAGTCAGTGTTCCTAACCACTGAGCCATCTCTCCAGCCCTTGATTTGCAATTTAAGGCTGTGGCCACTTACTCTTGTGTTTTGAGCTTCTGAGAAGAGAAGGTACACCCTTCCCATGATGAATCCCCAAGTTACAGGTCAGGTACCAGTAAGTGCTTGCTTCTGTGTGGGTAAATGGGCGTGGACAGATCAATACAATGGGCCACCTCCCTATTTGTTTAACTGTAAGTCATTCCTCTTGGAGATGCTCAAAGTCGTGGCTGGAAGCTGCACTCCATTTAAGAAAAAAAAAAAAGCCCATTGAACTGACCTCTAAAATAAAGCATGCAGAATAAATAAGCACAGTTATGTGCCACCTACAGGCACTTCTGCCACTGTCAAATCGCATACATCTTGGTGTTCCAATATGTGGGCTACGTGGTTCTGTCACCCAGTGACATGCATGGCTGTTATGGTTTTTGCGAGTACACTACAGAACGAATTGCTTAGCAATGTAGGTCTTGGAAATGTTCCTGTCCTTAGGCCACAGTGACGGTCAGCGTCCATCCCCTACTGTCACACAGAAGCTGAAGGCCACCTCCCTTTCAGTATTTGGGTGTGACACATCTGAGCATGCTCCAAGTGGGCTTTCTTTTGTATCGTGGCAAATTGCTAGTTTCAGAAGTCAGGTCACTGATTTCATAGTAGCCACTAAACAAATGAACAGACAAGCAAACAGCCCTTTCTGTCCACACTGGAGGGCGTGGGAGAGGACGTGATGCTCTCTCCCGCATCACCCTTCTCAGATGCCTCCAGTACAAAGTCTGACCGAGCAGCTTGAAGAACTGAGCTCCCACTCTGGCTATGGGATAAACATGGCCTTTTCCTCACAGAGTCAAGGAATTGAAGGTACAATATCTCATATAAAGACTAAGGTAATTTAGAATAAATCAAACACACAAAAATGTTTGTAATAGAGCTTAGTGTTGCCTGTGCCCAGCTAGCTCAGTTGGTAGAGCACGAGACTCTTAATCTCGTGGGTTTGATGGGTGGTTGTGGGTTTGATCCCCATATTGGGCGCCAAATATTGCCTGTGCCCTGGACTGCTCGACACCTGATCCTACCTGCCCTTGGGGATTGGAGGTGAGGTAGCACAGAGTCAACGACACAGACTCCGGGAGCGGGTGAGAAACGCCACAGCAAGCTCTCTGAACACTGCTGCAAGCTCCTTTAATACCCTCCACCCACGCCCCATTGGTCCCAAGAAAGCATCTTTTCTAAGCAGTTCCCGATTGGCTGGCGTTGTCTACACCAGCAATCCTTGGTCTCTCAGGAAGTCCTCAATTAGGTCCTCTTGCAGGAGATGCTTTTGTGGCTGCGCAGCCCCCAGCATTTACATAGAGGCAACCCTGCCTCCTAGCGTTTACATAGGAGCAGCCCCCCTTCCTGCTACAGCTTAGGAACTGGAACTCGGCTCAGCCTCGTAAGTTCAGTTTGTCCCCCATTGTGGGATGCATTTTAATCCCCTAAAGAGATGTGTGATTCTATGGCCTTGTATGAAAGATAAGGCCATCCAGATGAACCCTAATCCTATGGGGTGACTGTGCCCTCACCAGAAAGAAATGACACATAAAAGCAAAGCCACAGAAAGGATGAAACTCAGGACAGACGCCACGCCTGGAGTGATGCAGAGCCGGCCAAGGAGCACCCAAGGACTGATGGCCATAGAAGTTGTGAGAAAAGATGAAGGGTTCCATTTAACCACCCAGGGCCATGTCCCTCTGACCCCTCGATTGTGAACGTCTAGACTCAGAACTATGAGGGGTATTGCTGTTTAAACCCACCCCACCTGTGGCTCTTTGTTACAGAAGCCAGAGGAAGACAGCATATCCCCTGACTTAGAATGAGAAAGCCTGGGGCTGGCTAGAGGGAGCATGGAGAAGCCCCTGGAGGCTTTTACTTCCACACTTGGGGCTCAGTTCCTCTGCGCTTGGGCCTTGCCCATTCCTCGTGGATTTGGCACATGCTGGTTGACACTTTCTCTTGTAGTCCTCCTCTTAGTGTACTGTAATTAACAAGGACCCATGCCCAGCCATCACCCAGGGGTTCTAGACCTCTAGCTGGCAGGCTCCACACCCTTTACCTCCACACACTGGAGAGGGAACAGTGTCTGGCAAGAAGCTATGGGATCACATAGCTCTTGAGCTCAGAAGAACTACCAGACTGAGCTTTCCACAGCCCACATCTGCTTCAGACACCTGGGCCTGAAGCAAGAGGCACGGCCTGCATTTAGGGGCTGAGAGCAGACCCAGACTATTCTTCCATGTTCTATTGTTGCAGAGAAGCTCCAAAGATAGCAGGAGACACATACCTCTAGCTGCAGGATGCCAATCACTGCAGCCTTGTTGTGCAGCCCATAATATCCTGGATCTCCCTGCCAGGGTGGTAGAGGAGAGAAGGGGGGATGCAGGATGGTTTTCTGGAGGAAGTGGGGGTTAGGCTGCCTCAGGGAGGGTTGGTTTAAGCAATAGAATGTGTTTGCCTGCCTGTGTTCTCTGCATCTGTTGCTGTGATGGAATGCCATGACCAAAATGATATGGGGAGGAAAGGGTTTATTTGCCTTACACTTCCACATCTCAGTTCATCATCAAAGGAAGCCAGGAACTCAAAATGGCAGCATCCTGAAGGTAGGAGATGATGCAGCAGTTATGGAGGGGTGCTGCTTACTGGCTTGCTTTTCAGGGCTTGCTCAGCCTGCTTTCTTATAGAACCAGGGCCACCAATCCAGGGATCACTCACAATGGACTGGGCCCTTCCCCATCAATCACTAAGTAAGACAATGCTTTACAGTTGGATCTTATGGAGGCATTTCTCAATTGAGGTTCCCTCCTCTCAGATGATTTTAGCACTATGTGCAGGGAAGCTGCAGGTTTTTCTCCTGGCAGCAAAGATTGTCACTGTCTGGCCTGGCTCTCCTTTCCCAGGAATTCCTCCTTCCTGAGTGTAACCTATAAGGTTGCTTAGGTACCTAGAAATATCCAGGAATCCTGGTGAGGGTGAAGGTAGGCCCCATTCTCCTGGTATGGCTGTCATTCAGAGGCCACCAAGGCCTGGAAGATCCATTGAGCCTAATGTAAAACTGGTGGGGCTGCCCCTCAGGTGTCCAGCCTCCACCTTCTGTCCTCTTGCCCTCCTCCTTCCAACCATCTGGAGTTCCAGGGTCATGTGGAGGAGATCAAGGAAAGGGGCTGGTATGTATGAGCTCTTTTGTGTGTGTGTGTGTGTGTGTATGTGTGTGATGTGTTCATGTATGTGCGTACTTATGTGTCTGTGTATATGTGTGTGTTTGTGTAGGGGTGGGAGAGTATATGCATTGTGTATGTACATGTACGTATGTGTTCATATGTGCATGGAGGCCAGAGGACGACATTAAGTGTTTTGTCAATCATGCTCCACCTTATTTTTTGAGACAGGATCTCTCATTGAACCCGGAGCTCATGGATTCAGCTAGAGGAGCTGCCCAGTGAGCTTCAGGGATCTGCCTCTCTCTACCTCCCACCCCCATGCTGGGGTCACAGACAGCTCCTGCCCCGGCTTTTATATGGGAGCTGGAAATCCAGACTCACATCGTTGACCACAGTAGACACTTTATCGTCTATCTCCTTAGGCCCAAGTGCCTCCTTTTCCAGAAGATTCTAGGAGCAATCCCAGCCTACTGCCCACACAGACCAACACTCTTTTCCAGCTGGTTCTCGGCATCCCAGGGGCTGACATGGTAGATCAGGTGTGTTCTCTGTGTCTTTACTGTAGTGGTACTTTACCCAGGATACTTCTGTCCCTCTAGCTGCTCAGTCAACACTTAGGTTGTCCTGAGAGAAAATGGGGAGGCCTCCCAAGGCCCTCCTTTGCTCATAGATTCTTAGAATGCCTCAGGTGATCTGATACACCTTACATTGGGCCAACAGCTCCTGGGGCAGGTTCTCGCCACCCCTCCCCCCACACACACACTTACCCACCTACCCAGACCCTAATCCACTGAGTCCATATGGTTCTTTCAAAGGGCTAAAAACTTTTCCTGGAAGAAGAGTATGAGCCAGGCAATGGTGGCACACGCCTTTAATCCCAGCACTTGGGAGGCAGAGGCAGGATTTCTGAGTTCGAGGCCAGCCTGGTCAACAGAGTGAGTTCCAGGACAGCCAGGGCTACATAGAGAAACCCTGTCTTGAAAAACCAAAAAGAGAAGAAGGAGGAGGAGGAAGAGGAAGAGGAGGAAGATGAGGAGAAGGAGGAAGAGGAGGAGGAGGAGAAGGAGGAGGAGGAGGAGGAGGAGGAGGAGAAGGAGGAGGAGGAGGAGGAGGAGGGCACATCCATTGTCTTTCCTGGTAGGGGATACCCATCAGGAGTGGGGTGATTGTAGGTAAAGTCAGGAGAGAGACTGGGACTGTAGGCTCCTTCCAACCAAGTACCACTAGGTGGCACTCTCAACCCTCACTTAGGGCTAACCAACAAGACGAGGGGGAGTCAGCTTGTTAAAAGGGGCAACCAGGCTTGTCAGGAAGATAGTCACTGAGCACTGACCAGGAAACACCCTCAAATGTATCATCCCAGCACTTGGGATTCCAAGGCAGGAGGATAGCTACAAGTTTAAGGCCAGCCAGAGCTACACAGTGAGTTGCCTCCTATCCTGGGCTACATAGTGAAGTGTCTCATCTCACTCCCTGCTTCCGGCTTTGGTCAGTTTGTCCATTCCGGTACTAGTGTTCAGAAAGAGCCACACAGTCCGCAGACAATGCTGGACAGGTGGGCTCTGACTCAGTGAGTACAGGGCTTTATGACTCGCTGTGTGTCAAGGATGCTCTAGGGCTAGCCCCACTAGAAAAAGGATGGAAAAGGAAAGAGGAATCAGAAAGACCAGCAAGGAAAGTGTTACATCCTCCCTGGGAGTATATCCTGGTCTGAGCCATGAGGAGGAAGTGAGGTGAGAGGGACAGTTCCCAGACACCAGGCCTATTACCCACTCCCCGAAGGGGGCTAGCCCATGACCTTCTGCTAGTGTCTGTACTTTCTGACCCATATCCATCCTCGATGGCCACACAAGGGCCAGCCCTCCCCCAGCGATGTCTGTACTTGCCTTAGGCTCTGTCATCTAATCAAAGTTCAACCTTCCTATGTGCCATTTTGTTGTTGATACTTCTATAAATTTTATTTCTTTCATACATGTAATGTCGGCATTACACTCTTATGTGTAACTCTGTACAGTTTATATCAAATTTTATATTTATTCTTTTTTCAAGGACATGGTGTCTTTGACATATACAAAGGTATATATTCAGTAATTTGGAAACTGTAAACATTCTGACCTAACCTTCGGGTTTGTTAACTCATGGACGGTATTTCTGAAATCATCAGTGCCCACCAGTTCCGCCTCTTTAGAAAGATATTGTTTTATCTGAGCATTTACTAGCAGTTGTATTTATTTTGATTTTTTGTTTATTTGTTTGTTTTTTGACACAGGGTTTCTCTGTGTAGCCCTGGCTGTCCTGGAACTCTTTCTGTAGACCAGGCTGTCTGTCCCAGAACTCAGAGACTGACCTACCTCTGCCTCCTGAGTGCTGGGATCAAAGGTGTGTGCCACCAACATCATTGGGTTCCCTCAATCACCTTTTTCTTGTAATCATCTTTTTTCTTGTCATTGATTTTTGTATAATCAGTTCCTCTCCTTATCCACAATGGGATGAAGCTGAAAAAAAACTCAGTGATGGCTTTGAATCTTATCCTTATTCATACACTACAGTTCTGCCTGGCTGCTTCAGAACTTTGAAAAGCAAGCAGGCTTCTCTCAAGGCAAAAGCAAGAATGGAGACAGCCATTTTGGCAACCACACTGGGCTTATGACACGTATTCCGGCGTTTGAGAGCTCTGAGGGAAATCCAGAGAGGCTTACAAGACCGCTGGGCTGTTGGGTTGGAAACCAGCCTGGCCACATGAGTCATTCAACATCTTAGTCCAAAGGAGTGGCCAATGGCGACAGTGATGGCAAACCCAGTGGTAGAGACACCCACAGTGAAGACTCCAACAAT